TTATCCAAGTTATTTTTAGTTTATATTTAAAATGAATCACATGTTCTACAATGATTGACAGAAACACAGCTTTGTTTCCCAAACCAATTCTTTTCCATTATTTTTGGACATCATTCAGAGCTATAGCAAATTTTCATGGTGTTTAAAAGCATTCATCCAGGACAACAACAAATGCTAATTATCATAAAAAATAAATAGATCTTGTTAATATCATTTTAAGAGTTTCTCCTACCCAGCCCTATATTTTATTGTCTATGCCATCTGTTTGGAGGCAGTAGTAAAGACTCAAAATGTAATGATCATGGACAACACCATGGAAATGAAATGAGTATAAATAGAAGTAGCACACATAATAAATAGATTTGGAAAGGGAAAGAAAAATCATGTTAGTGATGGTTTGTGTGCCCTGTAGTAAATAGTTGATAGGGAAGTCAATAATAGAGTCAATAATGTTTATCTTGCTGGGTTTGAGGGAGGAAATACCCATTTCAGTTCACAATCCCCACTACTATATTGCTTCCCACATCATAGTAATCCTGCTTATTTGGGAAGTTTGCAAATCCTCTTTTTTGATTATTTTAACTAAGAGTTCATCAAGGGACTTTAAAATACAAATCAAAAAGACCAAAGGAATACTTAAGTGTATTTATGAATACAATTCAGTAACACTCCTCTACCCCAATAATTATTTCTGTAGTCATCTCTTACCTTCTACTTCTTTCAAGGTTGTTCAAGTAACTTAGAACACTCAACTTCAATTGAAAGTGTTATGAAGTCAAAGAGGTAACAAATGATCAGTTGCAAATAAATTTAGCTCATTAAGAATAAGTTAATGTCTAGGCTATGGTAAATAACACTGCAATAAACATGGTTGTGATGATGGTCTTACTATCTATTACTTTGTAATCTCCTGGGTAAATGCCTAGTAGTGAAAGCAGTGAGTCAGAGGGTAGGTATATGGATAATTTTTTGAGAGACCTACATACTGCTTTACAGAATGGTTGAATGTTTACATTCCTATCAACAGTGTATTAGAGCTCACTTTTGGCCATATCCTCACCAGCATTTGTTCACTTTCTTGAAAATGACCATTCTTACTGGGGTGAAGTAGAATTTCAATGTTGTTTTAATTTGCATTTTCTTTATGGACAGAGATATTGAGCATTTACTCATATGTGTATTGGCCACTTTTATGTCTTCTAATAAGAAAAATCTTTTAACTTACTGGCCCATTAATTAATTAGCCCTTTAATTAATTTATGTAGTAGTCAAAAATCTTCTCCCATTCAGTATGCTGTCTTTTAGCTTGTTGACTATGTCCTTGCCATGCAGAAACTTTTGTTTGGTGTAGTCCCATTTATCAAGTCTTCTTTGATTCGCTGTGATTCTACAGTTTTACTCAAAAAATTATTATCTATGCCCAAGAGGTCTAATGTTTCCCTTACTCTTTCCTCTAATAGTTTCAGGTTTTCAGGTTTTCAGATCTTACATTGGGGTCTCTGATACATTTTGAATTGATGCTGGTGCAAGGTGACGCATAAGGATCTATTTTCAGTTTTCTGCATATGGGTGTCCATTTTTCATAACCAAGGCATTGAATCATCCCAGATGTGCCTCAATGGACAAATGGATCAAGAAAATATAGTATATATACACAATGAATTTTACTCATCCACCAGAAAGAATGACATTGTACCATTTGTAAAGAAATGACATGGAAAAATTATGTTAAATGAAGTAAGTAGGCCCAGAGAGACAGAGCATGTATGCTTTCTTCATATGTGGAAGCATGACTTAGCTTATAAACTTACAAGGAAATGCTTTGGGTGTATGCAAGTGTATACAAATGTATTAACTGAAATGCAATAGATTTGTGAAAAAATTCAAATACTGTAGTTCCCTACAAAGGTAAAATCAAAGTTCAGTAAATTACAACCTCAGGTATTGGATACTTAAAAAAGGTGCATGGGGCCAAGGAGAAATGGGTAGACAAATGTAAAAATGAAGAAGAGGAGAACGCAGTCAAGAATCCAATGTACATTCTACAAAATTAAGAAGAGTCAGGGAAGGGGTGTGTAGAGGAGGGGTGGGTAAGAATACTGGAAGAGGTACAATTGATCAAGATGTATTATATTCAAAAACGACTTTGTTAAATGGCAGTACCTTTGTATAACTACATAATAATAATAATTAAGTCTCAAAAACAAAAGCAAAAATCAAGTACCCTTTATTGTAAATTAGAAATTTAACAAGGACAGGGCTTTACTTCTGTACTGGCATATAAGCATATGTATAATCCCTGGCAATTCAGAAGGTGTCCATTTGATATGTGTTGACTTAAATGTTACTTTTTTTTTGGGGGGGGAGGTCCGGTTGTGGGGCCTGAACTCTGGGCTTGGGCGCTGTCCCTCAGCTCTTCAGCTCAAGGCTAGCACTCTACAACTTGAGCCACAGTGCCACTTCTGGCTTTTTTCTTTTTGCTTATGTGGTGCTGAGGAATCGAACCCAGGGCCTCAGGCATGCAAGGCAAGTGCTCTACCACTGAGCTACCTTCCCATCCCCTTAAATGTTACATATTATTGACCATTAATAAACATTGTTTTGCTTCCAGAGGATTTTAAGACATATATTATGCAAACAAATTTCACAATTTGAATTGAACAAGATTTAAATAATTAATGACCTTTAAAATATCCAAGTATGTATGTGATGTTAAAAATAAGGGAATGACAAATTTTCTTTTAAATAATAATTTCACTATTTTAATTCTTTAGTCTTAGATCAATAACCCGCTAAGATTGTCTAACTAGAAATACCTATAAATGTTAGGCTATTTCAGTTGATCTTGGTCACAGAAATGTTTACAATATAATTTGTAGCAACCAGACATTAATTGCATATACAACTTTACCAAATCAAGGTTTGACCTGTTCAGAAGCCCCATTATTTATTTGTTTACTCATTCGTCTCATATGACTAAGATAAGTATGGCACACAGAGAGACAATAGTGAAGATAAATGATATATGCATACACATTTTGAACTTTTGCTTATTTTGTTCTTAGCGTGAAGAGTTACATGAATGCAAAATATCACACATACCTGTATGAATTACAGTTGTGCATATCGAGTTGTAAGATATTTGAATGATGTTGAGATAGCACAAAGTAGTGCTTCACTTTTGGCTTCACAATGAATGTATCAATTTTCTATACTTCTGTGACCAGCCACCCACAAGTATTCAGTAAGTAGACCAATTCATAAAGGAGAATGCTTGGATCATTATACGTGATGCAGACCTGACAAGGCATTCATCCCTAGCCTCCCATTCAAACCAAATTATAGAACTTTACCAATGACCAAAAGATGATTTGGGAAAAAGCATAATATAATTCACTAATATCTCTTTTGAGTTAAAAGACAAAAATTGTTGAGAACTCTAAGTAGTAAACATCATCATAAACAATTAATGTTTTTCAAAAAGAAATAATCTTTTAAAAAGATTATTCTACTAATTTGGATTTAGGCTAGCTATCTCAATTAAAGTTTAAAAATATTTTCACCTTTTTATTAAACTTACAATTTCCTATTCCCTAAGAAGTATTCTGTTGTTGTTGTTGGTGGTGGTGGTGGTGGTGGTGGTCGTGGGGCTTGAACTCTGGGCCTGGGCACTATCCCCCAACCCTTCAGCTCAAGGTGAGCACTCTACCACTTGAGCCATAGTGCCACTTCTGGTTTTCTGGTGGTTAATTGGAGATAAGAGTCTCATGGACTTTCCTGCCCCAGCTGCCTTTGAACTGTGATCCTTAGATCTCAGGCTTTTGAGTAGCTAAAATTACAGGTGAGAGCTACCAATGCCTGGCTAGGAAGAATTCTTTTCCACTGGTTTGCAGTGATCAATTATACTAGCAAATGCAAAAAAAATTTTACACTGAATTTTGTACTTCGCAATCATACAGAGTGTATATACACAAAGGAATGTAGATGTTCCTGTCATGCTTGGAGATAATTTAAATTCTAATGAATTTCAATCCTGATGTAAATTTGAAAGCTTAGTGAAATGTTTTAAATAAAAATTTTAACATCTTAATTTGAAGATCACTACTTAGACTACGTAAATCATTGTTGAATGGTCTATGGCCATACCATCCTGAATGCACTCATCTCATCTAAAATATCCTTGAATGAAATCACATGTCACTTTATATTTACAAGGGTAGTTCCTTTACCAATATAACTATCAACAATACTTTAAGGTTAAATTTTACTGTTTATTTTCTTCTACATCTCTGAGATTTGTTTTTCATTAATTCAAGGTAACCATCCATATACAAAAAACATAATGTAATTAAAATAAGAAAGCAAAGACAACAATGAAAATATTCTTTTATGACACTGAAATAAAGACTATATCAATAAATTTTATTTTCTAAATCTTAGTGTCCACACTAAAGTGGTTATAGAACTCTTGAATACTTCAATGAGTATTAAGTTGTTCCATACTGGAAAAAAATATTTAAAATATCAACATGCCTTACAGCTGTAAATTTCATTACTTTGCATATATATTACATTTAAGATAGAAAAAATTGTTAAGGTAAAAATGTGAATTTTCTTAACGAGTTTCATTGACAACCAACCTTGAGGTTTTGCTGTAAGAAATGGCCCTTCACCTAGTATATAAATACTTTGGGTGAATATTTCAATATCATATTTCATCTATTTTTATTGTTTATTCAATTTATAGTTCAAGCTAGTTGATATTTCACCAAAAAGAAGAATATACTTCACAAATACAGAAAAAGTCTGTGAGTTAGCTGGTATTTTACTTGGACGTGTTAAATTACGGTTGGCATTCATATCCTTTTAAGTTAATTTAAAAAGAAGCAAACAAAAAGTCCCACTAACCCCAAGGACAGAACCAGAGTCAGAATCCGGAATGAGTTCTACAGAACGATACAAATTTAAAACATAACCCAAAAGCTACTGATTTTTCTTACCAGTGCTGTCATCATACACAACGGTGACGGTTTTCCACTTGAAAAACTGCACCAAGTCTAAAATGGCACGGCTGAGTGAAGAGAAGTCTGGGTAGAGACTGACATAGAAGGAATCTTTGTTATCCGACACTTGGTGCTTCCAGCGGGTCTGGATGTGGGGAACCCCCAGAGCATTGCAGATCGACTGCACTGCATTGGCTGAGGAGCTGTGCGAAGGCCCAAAGATGGCAGCCACCCCGAGAGACAGCTGATCACAGGCTGAAGAGGAGAGAAGTCTGTTAATAAGATGGGCAGGAGCCAGTGTGCCCACTCTTACCACGTTATTATTAAAGGTCAAGATATCAGCCTTGTAAAATATTTGTCTTTAATATACTCACATTCCATTAATTTTAATCTACCTTTGGCCATTTTCATTTGGTTATAAGAGGGTTAATTCAGCCAAATGTCAGCAATTCAAAGCTAAATAATGCCATATATAATGTCAAGGAAGGGAAAGAAAGGACAAAAATAAAAAGAAAAATATTCTTTTTGGTGTGAGTCCTTTAGTGTGGCTTAAACTCAGGGCCTGTGTGCTGTCCCCATGTTTTTGTGCTCAAAGCTAATGTTCCACAACTTGAGCCACAACTCTCCTTCCAGCTTTTGTGGTAGTTAATGGGAGGTAAGAGTCTCATAGACTTTCATGCCTGGGCAGGCTTTGAACTGCTATACTCAGATCTCAGACTCCTGAATAGCTGGAATTACAGGCATGAACCACCAGCATCCAGTTCAAAAGGAATATTATTTTAACTGCAGATGAGGCAGATATATTTACTTCAGAACATAATAGTTTCTTATTATGAATGTAGAAAAATAGTATCATTAACCACATTCACTGATCATCCTTTATGATCTCAATTCGTGTGTGCATATACAAGTGTGTGTGTGTGTGTGTGTGTGTGTGCATGCACAATGTGTGTGTGTGTGAATGCGCAAGTGTGTGTATGAGACTACTCAGGCTTGAACTCAAGGCTTCACAGTCTCGGCTTTTTTGCTCAACACTGGTGTTCTACCATTTGAGTCATACCGTTATTGCTTAAAATTTTCAAATACTTAATTTAAGACATAAATAGTCAGACAGATGGATAGACAGACAGACAGACAGACAGACAGGCAGACAGACAGACAGACAGACAGACAGACAGACAGACAGACAGACAGACAGACAGACAGATAGATAGATAGATAGATAGATAGATAGATAGATAGATAGATAGATAGATGACACATCAAGTTATGGGAACATACTATATTGAGTAGGAAGAGCAACAAAATTATTAGATAAATATTCAATACAAAATTATTAGGTAAGTATATAATTATCTTTAAATACTTCATTGTTTTGTTATACACCTTCTATATTATCCAAAATATGTTTTTAGGGTCAACATTTAGTCACAGAAAAATTTGCCTCAATAAAAAATAATTGTAGTAATTATAAGAAACAAACTACAGGGCATTCAGATTAAAACACACATATCAGTAACTGCAACTCTATTAGGTACACTGAACCAGATGGTGATTTTGTGCCTAGAAAGTGAATCATTTTTGAAAATATGAAAATTATCTTTAAGTATCGAAAGACTTAGTTTGGGAAATGTCTTGTTTAATTTTCAAAAGGAGAATTAAGATAAATGGATAGAAGTTTCTCATGAATTTTGACTCAATTCAAGGTTGTAAAAATTTTAAGGGAAAGTAAAAAATATCCAAAAATGAAATAGTTTATAGCCAATTGGAAATGGCTCTTTAGAGACAGTAACTGCAAATATTTAAACAGAACCAACTTTGGTTACAGGCATAAATTAGATATTAAAGCTCAATTCTTCCAAAGTATAAAATCAAACATTCTGAGAAAAAAATGTTTTCTGCATAAAATATGGTATAATGAATGAGTTATTTTTAAACAAAGAGACACTAAACCAAAATGACCTAAATAAATTGATTCTGAATCTATAGATTATTTCTAAATGATTACTGGCATTCTCAATCACTAGAAAGGAGTTTGAAAATGTTCACTCTACATAGGATTTTTACTTTACATACATTCAGAACAAATGATCTTTCTAACTTAGAATTTTAACAAATTACAATAAGATAAGTTAAAAAGAATTATACTTGACAAAAGTATATTTTAACTAACAGAAGTATCTTTGGTTTTCTGTATTTTCCCTTTTGAGACACAGTCTAGGTGCTCAGATAAACCTCAAACCCACTTCCTCTTGCCTCAGCCTCTGAAGTAGTTGGGATTATAGAGAGGTAGCACAATGATCTGCTTAATGCACAAGTCAAATAATAACTCAAGTTCTAGTATGTCAATTTTTCCATTAATTGAGCAAATCAGTTTTACCTATTAAAGGTGTAAGAGAAAAAACTGAAAAAAATCTTACATTTGATTTCTAATTGTTTTTATTTTACTTTTGATGAACTCAGGGGTTTGAACTCAGAATCTTGTGATCTTATATTTTTAATTCAATATAATAATTAAAATTAGTTGTATACTTTGAAAATGGATTTTCCCCTTACATTGTATTTCCAACATATCACTCTATTAATTGTTTCTGCATTCTATAAGGTATAATAGCTCAACAAACAAGATCCAAATTGCATTCAACATTATAATAATATCCTTTAAAAAGGTACTCAGACACTTTTATTAGCTTTTCCTAGCTTCAGGCCAATGTCAATGGATATGTTTTATTTCCAGTGGGTTTTTAATGGATGACAAATTTTTTAGAACACTTTGGAAATAAGATGAATTTATCACCTTTTAAGTTTGTTAAAGTATTCTTGGCATAGTATTCTGTATTTTTATGCTACGCCTTTGAAATCTTGATAAAGAAATCTATTAATATTTTATCCATATTGTACTCACATCATTATGAATGCTTTCATTAGAGGCAGAGCGTCTTGTTCCTAATGAAAATAGTCATGAACTATGCCACTAATCAAAGGCACTTGTCTTGCAATTAATGACTTACTTTGAACTTGTCATGACAAATGTAGCATTTTATGATAAACTTTAACCTTTTTCTCCTATCAGCTCTCTAAGCCTCTCATCACCCTCTCATGGTTCTGAAATGTGAAAATATATTTGTATTCATAAAGATATGAATTCAAAAGGCAGGCAGAAGAGAGCTTTGATAAACACAAGTTAGCAGCTGGGGGAAAAGAAGGTTCCTTTCATCTTGAGCAACACTATTCCTTATCACCTGCTATTAATATTAATAATCTTAGCAGAAATATTCACCAACTCAGAATTTCAAATAATTATGCACATTTTTATTAGTGCAAGGTACTAGTAAAACAATATTATCATTACCTAAAGGCAAACATTGATTAGAAGTATGAGGTGCCAGCCAGGCCCTGGTTTCTCACTACTACTCAGGAATCCTAGCTAAGGAATATCAGAAAAGGAGGATTGTGGTTCAAAGCCAGCCTGAGTTAAATAGTCCACAAGACTCCTTCTACAAATAACCAGAAAGAAAACCTGGGCTAGAAGAATGTTTCTAGTGGTGGAACACTACCTGAGAAAGCAAATGGAGCAACTGAAATGGTCTGAATTGGTCTAGAATTGGCAGAGAGACAGAGACAGAGAGAGAGAGAGAGAGAAAGAGAGAGCTAGAGAGAGAGAGAGAGAGAGATTTGAAATAACAGGTACAGTCCTTTAAGAAAACCTAAGTTATTAAAGTTCGTATCTACACATGATTGCTAAGTATGCAAAAGACAATAGTATATTAGAAATACAAGACTAAATAGAAATACCTCTCAACTGCATTTATTACTATGACTCTTCATTAGTTAAAATGCCTTAAACTGGTTTAATTCTTGCTGATGTCTTTCTTCATATATAAATACTCTTCACACATAAATATTAAATACTCCAATTTGTATTCTATTAAATATTAAATTTGTATTCTAGAAATACTTTCTATTTTTTTTTTCACTTAAGATTTTGCAGTGCTGGGGTATCATCAGGACCTACTGCAGACATTCTACTACTTGAGCCATCTTTAGGCTTTTGGGGGTTTATTGTTTTCCATATAGGGTCTTGAATTTATCCCTAGATTGAATCAACAGGCTTGGATTGCATTCCTTCTACTTATGTTTCCTACATTGCTGTGAAGACAGGTATGTGCCACTGTACCCAGCTTCTATTGGGTGAGATAGAGTTTCTTGAACTTTTTGCATGAGCTGTCCCCAAACTTTGACCTACCTAATCTCAGCTTCTTAAGGAATTAGGATTGATGCCAGATACTGGTGGCTCACGCCTGTAACCGTAGTTACTCAGGAGGCTTAGATTGGAGGATCGTGGTTCAAAACTAGTCTCAACAGTGAGAATCTTATTTCCAAGTAGCCAACAGAAAACCAGAAATAGTGCTGTGGCTCAAAGTGGTAGAGAGCTATCCTTGAACAAAAGAGCTCAGGGACAGTGTCCAGGCTCCAAGTTCAAGCCTCAAGACTGACGGAAAGAAATAAAGAGGGGAAAAAAGAGATAATTACAATTATGGATGTGAGGTCTGAATCTGCTGGACTGATCATTTGAAGCCACAAAACTTTCTAAGTAGTCAATAAATACAGTAAGTCTATAATGGGATTAGTGTTGATCATGAAAATCAAAATTTAAGAATGGCAAGATTCACTGAAGTTATTTTATTTTAGTGGTCTTATAAAATTATAGTCTAATAACAAGACAGAAGAATCAATAGCAGAAAAACAAGTGGACAATATTAGATTTAACTGTATTTATAAGTAGATTTTTTGACAGTTATATCATTTTACCTTCCTTGAATAAAACTTAGGTACATATTTAAAGGAACTCTTCACATGCAATTATTCTTAACAAAGTACTGAGTACATGATCAAATAAAGAACTCTCTTCAGAAAAGCTGGGAATCCCAAATATCTACCAATTACCTTTCTTGGATGCTTCAAAACTGTCATAGAGGTTTATCTTCTGGGTATCATAAGTTAGGGTGGTATTGGGCAACAAGGTTCTGTTTCTGTTGATGGTATTCACGGCAAATCGGAAAGCCAGTTCCTCTGCTCCCATGGGGCCAGATTCCACATATTCAAAAATACCTCCTAGCAAAACAAGAGAGAATAATGACACAGCTCTTACAACACAGAGATCATGTCAGATCATTTATGGATTTCGTGTCTGGTGTATTTGTGTGTGTGTGTGTGTGTGTGTGTGTATGTATGTATGTTCTCTATTTAGTGGATGAGTTTTGTGCTTACTTTTCTTTGAACTTTAGGATACAGTTCTTTAGATAAATGAAAACTAACCAAACTACCTTAGTCTTTCTGCCAAAATTTAATATGACTTAAATGTGATTTTCTCTTTTGTCTTTAATAACGACATAGTTTAGGGCATAAGCATGTATGGATGTTGTCTTAAGTAAGGAAAATGATTCCCCCAAGTTTTGCACATAATCCCAGAGTTATAAATTATCTATGATGACACCAAGTCTAAAGCTTAGCATGGGGGGAAAAAAACAGAATTAAATTTGTTTTCATTAACTCAGAAGTCAGAATTCGTTGGCCCATTTTTTATGAGATTTCTTTTGTTAATATTCTAAAATAATTGCAAAGCAAACTTACGGAAAAAGAGAACTAAGTAGTACTTCTCCCTTTATTTTACTCCTAAGTCCCTTTCAGGATACACTTGATATAAATGATGTGTACTTTTCCAAAAACAATTCATCTCTCTTAATTAATAACATTGTAGCATGCAATTTGGGCCATAAAACATAGCATATAATTGAAAACAAGTTCCTTCAATTTGCTACATTATTCCAGCTGTGTTTCTGCCTAGTTACCTCCTTCTATACCCCTTCCTCCTCCCTGGAATCATTGGTCTCTCTTCAGATGGGAGACAACTGAAATTTCTGTAAGACAGACTTTCTCTTGGCTTGTTGAATAGAAGGAAAGGGGAAATACCTAATGCGAGACTAAAATGAAGGGCATTTTTCTTTGTCCCTTTTAAATTTTATTCCATAAAATTCCATTGAATAAGACAAGTAGGTATTTTGATTCATGGATGTCAATTGACCACACTTCAAGCAAACCACCTATCCATATATAATAAACATAACAACTCCTCTAACTCAAAGAGCTGTAACTCCAAAGAGATTGTGGGTGTATGGAAATTTATATCATGGAAGCATAAGAATGTCTATTTGATCCCATATTGATTTTAACCAATGAATAAAATAAGCTTTAAAATGAAACTTCACTATCAATAAGTATCATAAAATAGGAGAGTTGAGAAATGAGAATACTAAATCTCAGAGTTCGAAGGCATTTTTTATGATAAGAAAGACAACATATGTATTTGAAATGAGAAAAAACTAACAGGAAGGAAATTTTAAGAGTTGGCAAGACCCAAAGCCTGGGAAATAGGCTAAGTACTAGGAGAAAGACACTTCATTCACTGAAGTAAGAGGAAACTACCTGTAATTTGCAGGTAGGAGATGAGTAAGAAATTGAGGGAAATGTGTTTTATATGCTTTCTTTATAGAGCAGAAAATGAAATCACAATGATGACTCTGGAAAAATGAATCAGCTAGCTTTATTCTAAAAGGATTTTTTTATTTTAAAAATGCTATTAAAAATTAAATAGCCAAGCACTTTTCTGCCTGTTTATGAATTTGCAAAACAATAAATGTTTACATAATTAGAAGAGGCCTTTTCTCTTTACACAACTTGAAAAACTAGTGATACTCATTTTATGCTATATATCTCCTCTGAAAGTCTGTAGACTTACTCAATTTATGCTTAAGTGTCATAAGCATGTGTTCATTGGAAAGAGAATTGGTACCTTATAGAGTTCCTATAATTGGTGGGCAAAATACTAAGCTGAGTTATAAAAATACAGGAACTACAGGACAGCAGCATTTTAGAAATCAGTAATTTTGTAGTCATTCTAGCACCAATATTCATTCAGTTTCACATTTTTAAATGTTTTATTTTTTAATTGTCAAGGTGAGATATAGAGGGGTTACAGTTACATAAGTAAGGTAATAAGTACATTTCTTGACAAATTTGTTACCTCTTTTCTCATTTTTCTCCTACTTTCTCTCCTCTGACCCACCCACTCCCAAGTTGTCCAGATCATTTCCAACATATTGTCTTCTGTATATCGCTGTTGCATTGGTGTCTACCTTGTCCTTTCTCTCACCATTCTGTTGTTCCCCTTCCCTTCCCTAATTCAAACAAATGTATATACAATACCAGGGTACCAAAATCAAATACAATGACAGCAGGGGATATACCATAGAGGGAAGAACATACAAAAGAAACAAAAAAATCACACAGTATATTAAAAACAACAACGAAGTAAAACCTCTTGTGTCCATGTCTTGGAGTTCATTTTGCTTAACATCATCTTACATGGTATACATCATCTTACATATGTATACAGCTATGTCATTATTCTGCTCATGTGCTAAGTTTACCCTAGATGTATGCTAATTATTGTAAATAAGGGAAACAAATCATAGGACCTATGTTTCTTTGGGACTGGCTTACTTCAGTTAGGTTTTCAAATGCTATATTTTCTGTGGACTTACAAATATATTACTTGTTCCTCATACTTAAGATTGGATTTTTCAGCTTCAGAACCATTATCTAATATTCTCAGTCTTTGAGCTATATTTTTATTTGGTTGGTTTCTTCTAACTTAACAAGGATTTACCCATCTTCTTTTATACTATCCCCTATCTCACGCAATAAAATGCCTACAGTTCTTTATTCCAATTTTGTATTAAAATTTAGAGAACTTCCTGGACTATGGCATGTTTGTTGAAGAAAGAAAACAAATAAGAATTTTTTTAAGCATAGTTCTACCTCAGTTTTGGAGATGTAGAGACAACCGATGTTGAAAGTTTTCTCGTCTTAGCCTCTGACTCGAAAAAGAACAACATTACTTGCCTTGAAATGAAAGATTTATTAGTCAACTCTGAAACCTAGCCAATGCCTTTCTCTTACAGATCAATTTTAACTACCAGTACGGATTGTGTGACTCATAAACCTGTGATGGATGTTCACATCTAACCTCTGATACTGTGCAAACTGATCCTATCTTACAGTGGGTACAATCACTGCATTACAGTCTTTCAATTTAATAAAGGGCCTGATGTTCTGAATGACAAATTACCTATTGTTCTTCCAGAAGGTATGCTGGAATTCTCAGTCAGTTGGTTGTTTTTTTTTTTTTTTTTACTGAACTTAATTTGCTTCTATACACAAAGGTGACCCCCTTGTTTGTAATTTTGTGCAAATCATTATCCAAAGAATACTAATCATTAAGCTTCTTGGGAAGTATTGCCATTTTCACGATGTTAATCTTTCCAATCCAGGAGCATGGGAGGTTTTGCCATTTTTTAAGTTCTGTGTTGATTTCCTTTTTCAAGATTTTTAAGTTTTCATCATAGAGGTCCTTCACTTCTTTAGTTAAGTTAATTCCTAGGTATTTTATTTTTTGTGGGGCTATTACAAATGGAGTTGCTTTCCTAATTTCAGCCACACTTTTCTCATTGTTGGCATACAGAAAAGCCATTGATTTTTGGGGGTTAATTTTATAACCTGCTACTTTGCCAAAGTTTTGAATCAGCTTGAGTAATTTGGGAGTGGAGTCTATGGGATTCTTTAAATACAAGATCATGTCATCTGCAAAGAGGGAGAGTTTTATTTCTTCTTTCCCTATTTGGATCCCCTTTATGTCTGCATCTTGTCTTATTGCTGTAGCTAGGCATTCTAATACTAGATTGAAGAGAAGTGGAGAGAGTGGGCATCCTTGTCTTGTTCCTGAGTTAAGAGGAAATGGCTTTAGTTTTTCACCATTGAGTATAATGCTGGCTGTAGGTTTGTCATATACAGCCTTTATTGTATTGAGGAATGTTCCATGGATTCCTAATTTTTCCAAAACCTTCATCATAAAGGGGTGTTGGATCTTGTCGAATGCTTTTTCTGCGTCTATTGAGATAACCATGTGGTTCTTATTCTTGCTCCTGTTGATGTGATGAATAATATTAATTGATTTGCGTATATTGAACCAGCTTTGCATCCCTGAAATGAATCCTGTTTGATCGTGGTGTATGATTTTTTGGATGAATTGTTGAAGTCGATTGGCCAAAATTTTGTTGAGAAGTTTCGCATCAATGTTCATCAAAGAAATGGGTCTATAGTTCTCTTTCTTTGATGAGTCCCTGCCTGGTTTTGGGATGAGGGTTATGATGGCTTCATAGAATGTGTTCGGTAGTGAGCTTTCTCTTTCAATTTCATTGAAGAGTTGGAGGAGAATTGGTGTGAGCTCTGCTTTGAAGGCCTTGTAAAATTCCGCTGTAAAACCATCTGGTCCTGGACTTTTCTTAGCTGGGAGGTCTCTTATTGCTGTTTCTATTTCAATGCTTGATATGGGCCTGTTAAGATAGTTTACCTCATCTTGGTTTAGTTTTGGCATGTCAATATTTGCTAGGAAGAGGTCCATTTCTGTCAAGTTCTCAAACTTATTAGCATAAAGTTTTGAGAAGTATTCCCTTATAATGTTCTGAATCTTGCTTGTTTCCGTGGTGATGTTTCCATTCTCATCTCTGAGTTTATTAATTTGGGTGTGTTCTCTTCTTTTTCTGATAAGATTTGCTAAGGGTCTGTCAATTTTGTTAAGTTTTTCGAAGAACCAACTCTTTGTTTTGTTGATTCTTTCTATAGTTTTTTTGGATTCTAATTCATTTAATTCTGATTTAATTTTGATTATTTCTTTCCGTCTACTGGATTGGGGTTTATCTTGCTGCTCTTTTTCAAGGAGGTTTAGATGTGTCATTAAATTGTTAGTTTCAGATCTCTCCAATTTGTTGATGTAGGAGCTCAGAGCTATAAACTTGCCTCTGAGTACTGCCTTTGCTGTGTCCCAGAGGAGCTGGTATTTTGTGTGTTCATTTTTGTTGAATAGCATGAACATTTGAATTTCCTTTCTAATCTCTTCCATGACCCACTCATGATTCAGCAGTGTGTTGTAATACAATGACACCAGTCATTTTTTAAATGTTTGTGATATTAGATATTTTTTTTACTCCTTTAGA